TTAGAAAGCACACAAGAAGGACTGACCTTAGACTTCAATGACCGGACTGGGGAAACACATTTTAACGCGGGCTTAAATACACAGGCAACTCGAAACAGCCGATCACATGGGGATTCCACACGAGGTAACGAGGGGGCGTGGCACACGGGAGGACCGGACGAGCGGGACATGACAAATATTATCAGAGGTTGGGTAATTAAGATCAAATCACAACTTGAAAGCATAACACATGTTAAAATTTTGTTTATTTGGCAGATCCTTTTATCCAAAGTGATATACAGTTGAGGGTCAGACAGTCCCTGGAGCAATTGGGTGGGTTAAGGGACTTGATCAGGAGCCCAACAGTGAAATTACTCCACTGACCATGGGATAAAACATATATACCTGAATGCATCTATAAAAAAAAATCATGTTTAAGATGGTATGCTTTTTACAGCAGGCAGCTATTGCTGCAAGGGTTGAGAATTTAAAGGGTAAATTTAAACTGTGTTTTGCTTCACTTGGTAAAATTTGTACCGGACTGCAGCACTGAAGAGCTGGGAACTTTAATTGGGTTTGTTGGACTGAATCTCGGGTCGATAAGTGAAGCTGGAGAAAGTCGAGGTCTCTGACTCGAGGACAACAGCGGGATATAAAATGTCAGAAACCCACAACAGAAATGAAATATGAATGAAAAGCGGTTTGTATTACAAACTGGGACGGAACACAACATATCAATCAGATAAATTAGCAAACTCTTCAGAGGGAATCAGCGCTACGGGATGCAAACTTTAGTACAAACACCACCCAGGAAGGTAGCCCCTCTCCACCTTGTGGATTGCTTTCTCCTTGCATATTCACCACTAACATCTCAATGTTATCAGATCTTTAACCCAAACTGAATATTAGATAAAAGATCACCTGAGACAACAAAGACAAAATTCATTCTTTGTTGAATAAATGATGAAAGAAAGTTGCACAACATTTCTCGAAAAAGTATCTGCTCCATTTCCTGAAGCCCTTCACAGTAGCTGCAACGTTGGTAACTATAACCAAGCGCTTCTTGTAGATGTCGATTGGTCTCGTACAGCTTGGTAGAAGAATTCTGGCCCATTCCACTAATGAGTCTCATGAGAATTTCTTGGTATGTGCTTCAACTGAACGTGTCAAACTCGCTAACTTGCCGATTGCTAAGTGTCAGGATAAGTGATGGCCAAAACAGCGCTTCATGAACCATTTCCTGTATTTTCTTACCCTGCTACGTGGTGCTCTTGGTTTGGGGCATGCTTTGAGCCCTCTTTTGATTGGACAGCAACATCGGGAGTAGTGAGTCACAGCCACCATTCGGCCGGGCAAATAAACAGCACAAATACAATGGATTGCATTATGCGGAGGGGCACTTAGGGCAACATGAAAAGTACATGGAAGTAAAATAAAATTTAAAAAAATGTTGCTGTGTTTTTTATGATATTTTGTAAAATATTTTTAGATTTATATAATATAAGACTTAATCTATATAATCTAAGTTTGATTCTTTTAGGTTTGAAAACCAGTTTGACTGATTCACTGAAAAGAACCCGTTCAAAAGAACATCACTGTTGTTCACTTGGAGTTTTGTGTACAAGTAGTTCTTATAGTGCTTTTCTCTCCGACCGCATATCCTACAAATACAAACAGGATTCCGGGTTGTGTTGGTCTGGTCCCGTGCATCGCAGCAGTGAAAGACGAGGAGGCTTGTTTAACGGGAAAAAGAAGGCTGTTTTATTAAGCCCTTAAAAGGATTAACACAGGCATTAAACAACCACCAAACCACTCTTAACACCGAAACGCAGGGAGGTCTGACTCCAGACAGTAAGGTCTAATTTCCCAGATTTGCTCTGTGATTTCACGCATTGTAGCAGGTCTGACTATATATACTGTACATACACACACATACATTCATACATACAAATATCCATCCATGTTCTAACCACTCAACTTAGTCAAGGTCACTAGGAGGCCTAGAGCCTATCCCAGGCAGCACAGTGCCCAAGGCTGAGGTCACCCTGGATGGGATACCACTCTGAAATGAACACCCATTTCAAAGGCCACCGAATTTACACTTCAGTGTTTATTAAACCTGTCTTCCATCTCAACAGGAAAAAAGAACAAAATGCAGAACTGGCAAATAGCCATAAAGAACAATAAATATTTTAATTAAAATAAACATAATTATGAAATAGTCTCAGGTTTGTGGATGTGGAAGCAATTTAAAAATGCATTTTCTTCACACTATATCCAATTTCCTGCCTGTCGAAAAGTTAATTGTTTATTATTTTCTAATTAGTCAGCACAGAATTACAATATGAATGAGAAATACAATGTTTGTTTGGTACTAGTATGATTTACAATTTATAGCAGCGTTGATTGGTTTTAATGAGATACAATATAGCTAAAATTTCAGACGATTGGAATTAATTAATGGCATAAGAAGCCAGTATAGCTTTTATTTTAATGGCATGGAAGGATAATAAACCCAACTGATAGCATTAGCGCACCGTTTGGGAAGGCGGACACTAATAAGATGGCCAGGCCAACTGTCGCTAATCGGATCATATATTCAGGGAGCCTGAACCTTTATGGAGAGCTAAGTGCTCAGACGCCTGTTTAACAGTCTTCCCAGATAGCAAAACTGTACCAATAGAAGAGGGACAACAAAAATAGAAGCAACAGCCACCAACCGAGTGGAGTCTGTGGCTATAGCGAGAGTCTCCGCATTAGTCTTCCTCTCCCCCATTGTGTTAAGCCGAGCCCTTTGGAAAGAGGATCCACTTGGGGCAGTCGGTGTTCTCTGGGAGTTAGGCGTTAAGGGCGTGGCTCGGTCTGGGGAGCTCGATTGTTGCTCCACAACAGAGGTGCTGAAGTTTGGGCAGGGGGCCGTTATCCACTTTCCAGGGAGCTGAAGGGGCAACATGAACCCTGGAGACAACATCTCAACAGATACTTCAACCTAATCAATGAATTTATACATAGAGACCTTACATACGGAATATGCCCTGTATGTAAACCAAGCGAGGGCAGAATCACAGCACAGGTCTGGAATTCAGAAGTACCTCATCGTCATGGCGATGGAATCATCCTGACAAACAGCGCTATGGTAACGACCCTTAAATGGTTCAATGGACTGACAGGGATTAATGGAGCGGGATGAAGGGGGAGCATCACCTGCTTTATATCCAAGGTCAATGGCCACCTGAAGTACCCCATTCCTGAATACCAGTATGGTCACACTCTCGACAGATCAATATCAGTGTTTCCCTTAAAGCACAAATACACATCCCTTGAAAAATTGTAAAAATCCATCTGTGGTTCCATCCATCTTTCTTCTAACCCTGTATTCTGGTCAGGGTTACGGGGGCTGGAGTCTGTCCCGGCCTGCATAGGGCACTAGGCTGGTGTACACCCTGGATGGGATCCCACAGTGACATGTGTAAACTTAATTATCAATATTGCAGCCTTTGCAGACAGGTGAACGTTGCTACAGAGGTATCCTCAGAGACGGAGGTATAAGAATTTCCAGACAGACATATTTCATCTCGTAAAGAAAGATAAACTCGTATTTTAACTTTTAAGCCACAAACTCAAAGAAGTAATATAACGAAAAAGAAAAAAAAACAGAAATGTCCTTACGGGGTAAAAACTGTTAGGTTTTTGCTACATTGTGTGGACATTTGGTCCCCATAATGTAGTATACACACACGCACACGCATGCACACGCACACATACGTTTATATTCATATCTTTGTGGGGACCGTCCATTCATTTCTATGGGCATAAGCCTAATCGCAACAATGACAACCTTAACCCCTACCCAGCCCTGACCTTAACCATAAGTAACCAAACAAAATACAAGTCTTCTGGCATTTTAAATTTTTTGATTGCATTCAAAGATTTTTTTTTTCAGTTTCCTATTGGGGACACTGGGAAAATGTCCCCACAAGGTCAAAATAACAGGTTTATACATTTTGGGGGGATTTGCTCAGTCTCCCTAGGATTCACCTCAATACCAGCCTCAGCTCCATCTAGTTCAATTTCTTTTAAATTCCTGCCCTTCCCAACATCTTAATATAGGTTTAATGGCTAGAATCGCACCATAAATTAATAAAATAGCAGTTAATTTCACACTGCATTAAGTGCTGAAAGAGACAGAGGAGGAACACCTGGGCACGTGGTCTTCATCCAAATCAAAGACACATACAGTATGAATGTTCCTGAGAGCAGGAGAGGAACATGAGCTTCTGCTGGGTACTGCAGAAAGCCACCAGGGGGCGAGAGAGGGGAAGGGTACACCCCCGAGATCCAGACGGCAGACGGCAGACGGCAGTGGGCACCTCAGCGTTGTTTAAGGTGAACAGGACTAAAACAAGTTATGATGAAATAGGGCTTCAGTTTGGATTGCAATACCTGAAAAGAGAGTGTGAAGCAGTCCTGCCCAAAGCTGGCAGATGACATCATGCAGTAGGAGCCCAATAGCTGAAGGCTTTAAAAAAACTTCCCTTTCATTAATACGACCAGCATCCCCGCAATCTGAGATCACATTCTGGACCGTATGTGTCAATCAGCCCAGTTAAACAAACAGGGGCCTTACAGATGAGTAAAACCAGCATGAATTTAATCGCCTAACCCTCGCCCGTCAATCACGTTGAGGTTCGAGTCTTGACAGAAACAGAACAATCTAAAATGTTTGCTGGGGGAGTCGAGCATGTGAATATCCATGAAGAAACGGCGAATGCACCTACACGTCTTTTTGTACTGGCATGGGACCCTGTGTCGCAGTGACCTCATAACCTCAAAGTGACCTCACGACATCCTGTGACCTCACAACCTCCTGTAGCATTACTTGTGATGAGCAAATCACGTGTTTCGCTGATTCCATATAATCTACAAGAAAAAGCTCTTAGTGACATACCCTGAACTTTCATCCACGTTAAAGCACCTAATAACTGTCATTTGTGCTGTATTAAAAGCAAAGTCTATTCTTCTTTTCTTACAAAATGGCATTTATTTAATAAATGTGTAATAATACATTGTTGCTCGAGCTCTACACTGCTCCAACGTTCCAATATACAGTTCAAAAGTCACATAATTTTTTTTTCTGTTGTTACTCCTGTTAGTTTATGCTTCTTAACTGTCAGGGAGAGTCATATAAATGTTTGGTACAAAATGTCACATTACAAAGCACATTAGCATTTGATTTATGAACTCAATGCACATAATCTCAGCTTCCTTTGAACAAAATGATTTAGCTACAATAAAAAAAATCACCAACAAAACTGGGACAATGAACCAGCCAGAGGTAATTAATAATTTGAGTGTACACCTACTAGCAGAATTGTAAAGATCCTTTATACAGTAAGTCCTCACTTAATGACATATTGTTCCATTTATAGCACAACGCAAGACTCACTCAACATCATAAAGATTTGAATTTCAGAATTCAGTACTGGAAAAGGCTTTGCCAAGAGTACTACACAGTTTTTACTGCAATATCAAACATTTAATTAATATGTTTAAGCTTATTAAGTTAAATTAATTTAAATGTATTCATTAAAATTTCTATAGAGTTCTTGATTGACCAAGTTTCCACAGTCGTGTTACAATTTTCTGGGAGAACTTACATGATAAATCGCTTGGATTCATTTCCTTCACTGCTTAAGCTACATCCGGGAATATTATCGTGCTCAAGACTTGATTTTTGGTTTTTCAGACAAGCAGATTTTCCCTGGATCGTACTAGTCTCCTTCATGGTATGGTGGTGAATACTTTCTCAGAACGTATTACAATAATTCCTGATATAGTCATAGTAACTCCTTCATCAAGGTCATTGTTCTAGTTAAAGCTACAGTAAACAGTGTAGAAGAGTGCCCCCTGTAGATTTAGGGTGGTAAAGCCATCCACCTTTGTTCATATAGCAAACTCACTACCCCCTCCCTCATGGCATGTTGATTTTGGCAGACGGATCTTTTCAACCCTGAGAGGTAAACATGACGATAATACAGAAATGAAACAGAAAAATATATAACAAGGAAAATATAAAGTAAAACAACCATTCATCTCCATACCATGTCATAAAAAAAGTCACAACACGAGTCAAGTTTGGGCTTTGCCATAAAAAAAAACGTAGCAATTAAAAGTGGAGATAAAAGATACAGTGAGATACTGTCATAAAATACATGAGCCTCCGTTAACTTAAAACCTGCTCCTCTGTAAGTGTACATTAAGCTGAAGGAAAACGGCAGTTAAAAATCAGCATTTAAGAGATTACAAACTTGTCATTATAAAACACAAAGGGCAAGACAGAACGTTTAAGACTCAGCTCACAAACGCCGGACGTGTCTCGGCGGATCACGTAAAAGTATGCGAGTAAGTTCTTCAAAGATTTTCCGTAAAAGTGAAAAAATTCCATCTCACATGGCGAACGGAGTGGCAACAAAAGCTTGTAAGAGAGGAAAACACATTTTCATGTCTGTATGCTGAGGAAACGTACACTGTTAGAGAATCGGCATCTGTTGGGTACAGTCTGGTCAGCGAAAGGATGAACAGATGAGGATTTTATGAAAAGAAAAAGGGCACTTGGTCAAAGTGGGGGCCGCGTTTCTGCCCTCTCCCCGAGCGGCCGTGTTCAGTGCCAGGATAGATCCTTTGTGCCTGTTTTCTGTTCTTTTTCTGTTCCCCAGTTTTTGTTCCCGGTATTCCCCAGTTTTTGTTCCCGGTATTCCCCAGTTTTTTGTTCCCGGTATTCCCCAGTTTTTTGTTCCCGGTATTCCCCAGTTTTTTGTTCACGGTATTCCCGCCAATGATCCGTTAGGAATACCGACGGCAGTCCTCCCCACCGTACATTTCCGCCAGTTTCCGGAAGCGGGGCCCCCACTCGCTGAGGTAATCGTAGTCCTGGTCGCCCTCAGTGGAGGCGGAGCCTAGGGAGCTCAGCGAATCGGCGATCGAGCCGCTCCCCTCGTAGGCATAGGTGGCAAGGGAGTCATAAGGGGGCGCCGTGGGGTTGCTGTCGTTGTCGTGCACCCGCTGGTTGATGAAGTTGCGGACGTCGGCGTTGTCCCTTGCCGGGGCGGCCGCCGCGCAGCGGGCTGGCAGGTACAGCGCCTCAGGGACGATATCACGCCGTGTCTTGCTCTCCTCCACGGCCTCCGGGTGGCGCAGCGTGCCGATGTCGAAGGCCTGCGTGTCCTCCTCACCGCCGCCTTCGTCGTTGTAGCTGACGATGTTGTCCCTCACGTCGTCCTTGGAGAATATCAGCGGCTCCTTCTTCCTCTGTCGCCTCAGGGCCGTGAAGAGCACGACCGTCGCTGTCGGAGGGGGGAGAGGATAGGGGCGTCATGTGACCGGACGTCCAGAACACAACACACTACTGGACAAGTCCTATGCAGACAATGTAGGCTCACTTTTGGAATCACTGTTATCTCCACATATTTTAATTTTCAAATACCTTCAAGTGGTGCAATTCACAATATCTTTAATATAAAAAGGAAATTATAGGTCATTTGGAATATTTTAACATTTCAGTATAGGCTATTTGATCTCTTTAATGACACATACAGAAAGTCACTGACGTATGAGAACATTCGATGGGGGGGGCAACTTAATAATTTAAACACAAAGGTCAATTTTTTGGGAGGTATGAATGAAGTCAAATGAAATATTGGGGGACATACGTCCCCCTCTGCCCCCCCGGTACCTATAGCTTCTGCAGCAAGTGGCTACGAGACATTAAACGTGATTATATCTCTGAAATGGTTAATCTAGTGCACATAATGCCGACACTCACTGAGGAGGATGACGATGCAGAGGAGGATGGCCACCAGGGCGGCGGTGCTGAGTCCGGCAGATTGGGACAGGGCCTCTAGGTTGCAAGACTCCACATTGTAGTAGCGGTCGCACGGGCACACGTGCACCACCAGTGTGTTGGTGCTGCTTTGCCGGGGGTAGTCACCGTCGGTTATAACCACGGGGATCTGGTAGTTTCTTTTCTGCAGACGACTGAAGCCCCCGTGCCGGGTCAGAATGGAGGCTGTGTTATCTGCATAAAAGGGGGGGGGAGGGGGGGAATGCACGTGATGTCAAATATGCAGTGTTTTCCAGGGATTCAGTGCATCAACGACTATGCAAAAACAAACAAATAAAATACAGCACATTTTCCAGTGTATTATTTACATTAAAAATCCATTAAATACAGCATATTAACCATTTATCTACAAAAATAATACCATCTACTACATTTTATCCTTCATTATAGTGGCATCTGTATGTAAAAGCACATAAATATATTTCCTGTTCAGTTAGTTTCATATATCTTCAGGATAATTGCTGCGTAAAATCCCATATGTCTATACTTAATTTGCACAGCATTTCACGTCTGAGACTGTGGGAATTTTTCAGAGGCTTTCAGATCACCGGGGAGGGGTCCAGATGTAACCCCCATGTCTGAAAACGGAAACGTTTACCAGAGGATTTTCTCTACATGGTAATTATGCTGCCCCTTAATGGTTTTTTTTATTATTAATGAATACTGCATTTATTTGATTTCTTATTTTCACTTATATGTACAATTAGCAGCCTCAGTTACTGCAGGCATGTCTTATTTCCATATGCGTGGGAGTTTTCCTGATGCTTATATTTGTACTAACCAAACAAAGGCTTGTTTGTGCGGTTAAATGTGATTTATTTCACGCTGCCTTTTTGCTGCAAAGTCATTCCCCTACGGGCCCCGTTCCCTTTGTAATTCTAATGATGTTTTAACAAAGTTTAATCTGGTCACTATGTTTTTCATGTTGTTCACGGAAACCGCAGGTATCTTTAATTAGGCAGCGCAGCAATTTATGATAGAAATACTCTTAGATACTCTGAGTTAGCTTACATTATTATAGATGTGCAGATCAGAGGCTAGCTCTGCTGTGTTAACTGGAGGTGGACTATGGAAGAGGGGGAAGAACGGCTCTACTCACAGAGAATGACTATGGAAGAGGGGGAAGAACGGCTCTACTCACAGAGAATGACTGTGGAAAAGGGGGAAGACTGTCTCTACTCTCAGGGAATGACTGCGGAAAAGGGGGAAGACTGTCTCTACTCTCAGGGAATGACTGCGGAAAAGGGGGAAGACTGTCTCTACTCTCAGGGAATGACTGCGGAAAAGGGG